AGACAAGGAACCTTCCCTGTGCCTCTGGAGTGGGAAAGTGCGCTGGACAGGCTGCGGGCTGTGGGACTTCAGAACTCTGGTACCCTACCCCTTGTGGCCCTGCAGGCCCCACCCCTGTGGCTAGCTCTGGCCCCACCCCATCCCTCTGGCACCCCTGGGACACTCACAGGAGATGGCGAAGAGGGCCTTGACGCGTACCGTGTCGCAGGAGTCCCGGTCAAGCAGCCGCAGCAGCTTCCGCAGGGCACCAAGGCCCAGCACCTGCTCCTGGATGGCCGCCACATTCTGACTGCATGTCCCGATGAGCTGTGCAGCCCGCCACCGCAGCCCCGCTGCCCGGGCCTCCAGGTAGCGGCCCACCAGTAGGTGCATGCCCGACAGCTGGCAGAAATCTGCAGCAGAGAGTCACTGTGGCACCACCCTGTTCCTGGTGTAAGGGGAGGGGGACCTGGAGGCTGGGAGGGGCTGCTGGTGCTGCTGGTCCCAAGAGAAAGCCAGGCAGGGGACAGGGTGCTCTGGGGGTCGGTACCTGTGGCATTGTCCATGTTCTCACACAGGTCGGCCAGCAGCTCCAGGGCCCCCTCGCGCTCCTGTTGATCGGAGGCCAGCTCAGCTTCCCCCACTGCAGAGGGCATGGGCTGGGACAGCACCCGGAGGCAGCTCTTCATCTGTTCCACCTCCTCTCGCTGGCCCCGGAAGGCAGCTGACATGGCCTCCTGCAGCCACTGGCGCCTCTGCAGGGCAGGAGGAGGAAAGCGGTGGTTATGGAGGGAGTCACAGCCTTTTCCATCACAGTGTCTAGGCTGGGAATGGTGGTTCAAGCTTGTAATCCCCTTGGGCATAGACACCCCATCTGGCTAGGAATGTGGCTTAGTGGTAGCGTGTTTGCCAAGCATGCATGATGCCTTGGATTCGATTCCCCAGTAAACAGAAAAAGTTAGAAGTGGCAAAAAAAAGAGACTCCATCTCAACCAGTGGTCGATAAGAGTGTTGTTATCCCAGCCACAAGCAGAGCACTGGGCTGGACGTGGTGACAGACTTCTCTCCTGTTGGTGCAGGTAGGCACCAACAGGAGGATCACAGTCCAGGCTGGCACAGGCACAAAGCAAGATCCTATCTTGAGAATAAAAAAGGAGCTAGCAGAGTGGCTCTAGTGGTAAAGCAGTAGCTTTGCATGTGAGAGGTCCTGAGGTCAAACCCCTATACCACCCAAACAAAAGAAAAAAGTGTCTAGGGAGCATGCTTACACCTTTTTTTTTTTCTTTTATCCTGAGACAGGGACTGGCTACACAGGTTCATCTGAACCAATAAACAGCCCAGGCTATTCTCCTTCATGCTCCTAAGGCTCAGCCTCTAGAGTGCTGGCATGAAAGTGTGTGTCACCACACCCTGCTCTTCAGGGTTTTTCTTTCTTTGCTTTCTTTTTTTTTTTGCCAGTTTTGGGGCTTGAACTCAGGGCCTGGGCACTGTCCCTGAGCTTCTTTTGCTCAAGGCTAGCACTCTACCACTAGAACCACTTCTGGCCCAAGGGCATCTTTTTATTCCAACTCTTTTCTTGGTCCTGAGCCAGACAGGCAGAAACTCTTATGGGGTGGGAATGCGGGAGGGAGTGACCCACATTCTGGTGAGAGAGCAGACAGGATAAGCAGACTACAAGTATGGTTCTATAACAAGCACCATGGGATAAGGATGGGCAGACAGGATCAGGATGGCTGGGGTGGTACTGCAGAATTAAATGAAGTAGTCTTAGAGAAGGTAGGTCAACATAAGTCCTGTGTATCTCAGTACTTTTAACTTTTTTGCCTTTATGATTTTTGATACATGCTAGAAAAAAAGTTTAAAAAGAAATAACTTGAGAATGTCTTGTTTGTTTACAAATGTTTTATGAAATTTTCACCAATAATAATCTGGGCATTGAAAAGAACACATGTAAGTCTGGGAATGTGGCTTAGTGATAGAGTGCTTGCTTAGCGTTCATGAAGCCCTAGGTTCAATTCCTCAGTACCATATACACAGAAAAAGCCAGAAGTAGTGCTCTGGTTCAAACAGAGTTCTAGCCTTGAGCAAAAGAAACTCCTGGTTAGAGCCCAGACCCTGAGTTCAAGCCCTAGGACTGGCAAACACACACGCAAACACACACACACACACACACACACACACACACACACACACATAGCTGGCTGTCAAGTGGTTCAGGCTTATAATCCTAATTACTCAGGAGACTAAGATCTGAGGATCACTGTTCAAAACCAGCCTGTGGGCTGGGAAGGTGGCTCAGTGGTAGAGTGCTTACCTTGCATGAATGAGGCCCTGGGTTTGATTCCTCAGCACCATATAAGCAGAATAAGC